AGAGGGGAGATCTCTCCCCTTTATTCTCTGCATCCCAAAGGATGCCAGCAGCAGCAAATTGGGAATTTTGCTTTTTCCCCCTACTCTTTTTCTGTCCAGACTCTGAACCCCAAGGCAGTGATCAGGACACCACTGGCACACCTCAGTCCTTCCCAGGAAGAGGGGAGATCTCTCCCCTTTATTCTTTGCATCCCAAAGGATGCCAGCAGCAGCAAATTGGGAATTTTGCTTTTCCTTCTTCCCCTTTTCCCCATTTTTCTCTTTCTGTCCAGACTGAGCCCCAAGGCAGTGACACATCCCAGCCCTGCCCACCTGGCAGAGGGGAGATCCCAGCAGACCCCATGGAGATCCCGAGGGTGCCAGGATAATTCCCCCTCCCCACTCCTCCCTCCCAAGGTCACGTCCTGTTGGGAAGTGACTCTTCCTTCCGAATCAATGAGCACTTGGCTTTCTCCTCCATCCTCCAAGCCTTTTAATTGCTGCTTGATCCTAATGAGGTGTGGCTGATGGTAATAAATGGAAACCCTCCCGGCCTCGGTATCCAGCATCCAGCACTGCTCAGCTGCGTTTGCCTCGGCAGCAGCATCCATCCCCTCCATCTCCCACCCTTCCCAATCCTCCCCCTGCAGCCTCGAGACTGCAGACATCTGTTCCTCAATTGTCTGGTAATAAACACACTCTATAAAGCATATGTAAAATGATTATTACCCCGAGGAGCCAAGTGCCTTTCAAATGCCAGCTGAAACAAATAAACATTAAAAAAAATAAAAGACATTTAAAAAAAAATAAAAATCCCCACCAAACAAATGGTACGACAGACATCGCTCAGGCTGTTCCATGTTCCAGGATGAAGGGCGTTGGGATTGCTCCTGTGATTCCTTCTTCCAAAGGGAGATGTTATCCCTCAGCCCAGTAACTCCAGCAAAGGATGAAGGAAGCAACTGGACTCCTTTTGGTAACTTTTATACTTTGGCACCTCCCATGAAATGTAATTAAGGAAAATCAGAGGTGGGTTCTGCCTCAATTTCCAAGTGCAATTAGTTTCCAGATGTAGTTAGGAAAACTTATTCCCAGGAATCATCTCCTCTAGAACACCCACTTGTCTCTCAGAAATCCTCTCTTCGTTTATTCCGTGTGTGGTGGTGTCATTAAGAGCTGGTAATTAATCTGGGCCTTGGTGTGTCTCAGCTGTCCTTGTGGGAATTGGGGACCCACGTCCTGAACAACACAAATCTCACTTCCCAACTCTGGCTCCCTGCTCTAAAGGAATTCAAAGGCAAGGAAAGCTTTGAAAACCATTTTTAGGTATTTTTCCTTACACTGCCCATGGTTTTAATTAAGAGTTTCTCTAAACTTTGGTTATTGGGAATGGGTTCATTTGCACCGCCCTAAAGTCTGACCCTCTGTTCTTCAAGAGGCTCTGGAGCCAAGTTCCACCCTCAGTTTGTAAATAAAAAAGGATTAAAAAGTGGCTTTCTAAGCAGCAAATCTGTCCCTGTGCTTGTGCAGCTGTGATGTGATCAGCACTGACACTTCTCATAGCAGGAGTACAAAGAGAGGAGTTCCCACTGGTGAATATGAATTCCAACACTCTGCATCCCAGGGCTGAATTATATTGTAAAGCCATCACTTGGTGTGATGCTCAGGCTTTAAATCAGCACACCAGGGTCTGGTTTCTCAGTGATCCAGTTTGTTTAATGCTTTCAGAAGCACTCAGCTGCCTCATACAATCAGCGAGTCCATGCAGTGCTGAAGCTCCTCTGGCTTTATTTATGGGACTTTAACAAAAACAAGGTGTGGGAAAACCCCTTGTAAATAAAATATTGATCATTTAAATTCAAACCAGATCCATTTCGAGCATGTACAGGCGACAGGGATGAAAGATGAGAGGGGCAGGTCATGAAGAACCTCAAAAAGGAAAATAAAACAGGTGGAAACTTCACAGCTCTGCAGGAATTACCTCCAGGAGAGCTGGACATTTAAAACAGGAGCATCTGAAACAGGGCAACAAGGATCTAACCAAGAGATGATGATTTTATGATTCCAAGTGCCAGAAGTTAAAGCATCAATATTTGAGCAAATTCACTGTTCTGAGCATTTCAGCTGCTGGTGGGACAGGCCATGGCTATCCCATCAGGAACAGAACTCCCTGTAGGGAATTATTGTCAGCTAAAAAAATCCTGTGATCATCCCAGATTCTCTGCATCCCATTCATCCCTAAGTCATCATGAGTTAAATCTCTCAGCACACTAAACATTAAAATGAATAAAACTACATTAAAATTATTTTCAGCCCCAAACTCTCCCATCCTGCAGGGAGAAAAGGGCAAACTGGGTCATTCCCTGTTTTCCTTCTTTTCCTGAAGTTATTGATGAAATCCTCAGTGCCAGGGAGTGAAGATGTTGCAGGTGGTTGGCACGAAAAATGCACTTTACACAGACACCTTCATCTCGATGCAATTATTTTTTATGAGGCAAATGATTCCTCCTGCCTGACTTGCAGGCTGGGAATGCAAAGTGAAGTGTTTGGGAGAAGTGCTATTTAAAGCAGAGCACTTGTGTTTCGCTCAGATGGGAGAAAAAAAAAGGGGGAAAAATAAAGCAGGAAAGCAAAGAGAAAGAATTTCAATCAATGGGAAAGATCTCATCAATAAAAACAGGAGCATCACCCACTCTCTGGGCTTGCAGGATGTCTGTAAATTCATTAATGATTTAGAAATTGAAGTCTACATCATCACAGTCACACCTTGAAGAACATTAAATTCCAGTTGTCCACATTTTCCCATCATGAAATAGCTGAAAACTACAAATGATCCTGTAGCAAATTTATTTCTAGCACATTTCTTCAGTTTAAAAGAGACAGAGGTGGAAATGAAACGTGCTTATAGAATTCTTCACTTTGTTATGAGCACAGAGCAAGAAATAAATTTTTTTTTTGAAAGCAAGATCTTGCACACCATAACACATTTCAGGATGTTCTCAAGATTATTCCAATCCCTGCTGTTTTAAGGCCAGAAATTTAGATTTGGAGGCATTTATGCCTTTTCCAACAGTGTTTTTAAGTCCTGAGAAGTCACAAATAAATGAACTCTCAGCCACAGAGGTGCCAGGAGGAGATTCCTTCCTCTGGGGATCAGATTCCAACTTGAATTCCAATTTTTTATGACTATTTTGTGACTTCTTGGCTTTAGCACTGGAGAGAAGCTCCTGCTGTTGAGTGACTCAGGACAGTGAACTCATGCAAACACAGGCAAGGAGGGAAATGCTCCCCAAAGCTGCTGGGAAGAAAAGGAAAATTTCCCCAAAAAAAAAAGAGGTGGGAGGTTGACACGAACGGAGCCAAACATTGTATTTTAATTTCCACAAAACCAACGGGACAAACAGCAAAATTCAGGAATCAGAGGTGAATGACACAGTGAGAAGAGGTTTATTAAAGCCTTGCTCTGTTTACAGCTCCAGCTGTGACAATTTTGGTAAAGGAAAACGTGTTACTGAATTTCCACAAAACCAACAGGACAAACTGTTGGAAAAGCAGCAAAATTCAGGGATCAGAGGTGAATGACACAGTGAGAAGAGGTTTATTAAAGCCTTGCTCTGTTTACAGCTCCAGCTGTGACAATTTTGGTAAAGGAAAACCCTCCAAAAAAAAAGAAAGGTTGACATGAGCCAAGCCAAACCTTGTGTTACTGAATTTCCACAAAACCAACAGGACAAACTGTTGGAAAAGCAGCAAAATTCAGGGATCAGAGGTGAATGACACAGTGAGAAGAGGTTTATTAAAGCCTTGCTCTGTTTACAGCTCCAGCTGTGACAATTTTGGCAAAGGAAAACCCTCTCAGAAAAAAAAAGGTTGACATGAGCCAAGCCAAACCTTGTGTTACTGAATTTCCACAAAACCAACAGGACAAACTGTTGGAAAAGCAGCAAAATTCAGGGATCAGAGGTGAATGACACAGTGAGAAGAGGTTTATTAAAGCCTTGCTCTGTTTACAGCTCCAGCTGTGACAATTTTGGTCATCACAGGCTCACTCTGGATCAGGAATTAATTTGCAGTCCCCAGCCCACAGTGGTTTACCAATGAACTCACCTTGCAGGTCCTCTGACTTTTTAATAAGCATAATTAATAATATTGTTAAATAAAATTTAATAAGCACATTCTTTTTAATAAGAAACAATTTGTGGCAGGTTGCAAATAAACCTCCCCCAGCTTAGGTCAATAAATGACACTGGGTCACCCAGATAGGAAATCCCACCCGACATCAGAGTTCAGTTTGAAAAAGATTTGAAGATTAAAAATATTTAAAGAAAAAAATATTTTTCTTTAAATACATATTTTAAATATTTAGATATTAAATACTTACATAGTTTAGAATTAAATATTAAATATTATATCTTACTATATAATAGTAAGATATAATTATAATATTACTATATAATATAATAGATAATATATAACATGTAATAAATAATATGTAATATATAATATATAACACATAATATATAATATATACCATATATATTATATTATAATATCATCCATTATAGATAATATATAATATATTATATATAATAGACATAAAATGGATAAATATTATGTATAATATATATTAGATATAATACCTATTATAATACACTTTAATATATTCTTATGTTAATATATTAATAATAGATAATATAGTATGTTACTATATCAAAATTCATTATCAAATATTGAATATTGATAAATTATTCAAATAATTAATAGTAATAACTACATATTTAAATATTTTAGAAAATAATAATAAAATTAATGAATTCATTTTAAATATTTAATATTAAACCTTTAAATCTTTTAGAAAATTTAATTTTTTTTACACACAACAACTTCTCAACATCAACAACCTCAGAGCAGCCCCTTTGCTGTGGGATCTCAGAACTGGAATTTGCCCAACATCCCCACAAATCCAAGGTTTAATTCTGCTTATCCTAAGTTGTAGAAATGTGCAGAAAGGCAGATTTTACCTGAGCAGGGGGTGAAAGATGACGGTGATGTTCCTGGCTCCTGGTTTGCACACAAACTTGGAGCCACCACCTTCAATTAAGTTATCATCTGGTCCTCCTGGAAAACAAGGTGGCACAAGTTGTCTAACAGATCTCGACATCCCTTGATTTTCAGCGACTAAGTGATAATTAAACATTTAGCAAGCGATAATTAAACAGGAATTAAATGCCTATTTCCTGGTGAAAGATCAGTAATTAGCGCCAGGCTCTGCTCTCTGTGCCCTCCCAGGGCACAGGGAACAGTGCAGGTGCTGTTGGAGGTGACTTTGGCTCCTCATTCCAGAGGAATTGGGACATTTTGGCACAAAACCCAACAAATCCACGTGGCTCAGGTGTGTTTTGAAGCCCACAGTGAAGACTGGAAAGGTTTTGGACAGCAATTCCCAGAATTTTCCTGCTTCCTCTGCCTGGGGATGGCACAGTTCCAGCCTTGCTGTGGCTGCCAGTGACATTTTAACCCATTTATTTTATTTAGCATTACTGGCTCTTGTCATTCCTGCCTGGAACTTTCCCTTCTCCGAGTTCCACCTGGGTACAAACGCTCTCTAAGCTGCAGGAAAAATAAATTTGCAGAATTTGGCAGGAAAACACAACCCAGGGAACATCTTTTACACGCCACAGGCTCCAGGGTTTGGAGTGGCAATAAAACCTGACCAGTGTCACTGTGTCACTCCAAAATTACTTCCAGAAGCACTTCCTGACACCTTAAACTTGGATATTGGGGGAGAAAAGAGAGGGGAGGGAAAATATCAATTTCCCTAAAGCTCTAAATGTCCTGTCAGCAACAAAGTCCACATGGAACCATTCCTGAAGAAAACATTTTTAGGACAACAGGCCAGACACCCCACACATAAACAAATCACCATGGAGTGGTTTGGGTTGGAAGGGACCTCAAAGCCCATCCAGCTCCAATCCCATGGGGACACCTTCCCCTATCCCAGGAGGCTCCAACCCAATCCAACCTGGCCTTGGACTTCCAGGGATCCAGGGGCAGCCCCAGCTCCTCTGGGAATTCCATTCCAGGGCCTCCCCAAAAAGTTTGAAGTTTGAATATCCCAGGTATTTTCAAGCCCTTTCCATGTGAAATCTCCTTAAAGGTTGATAATAAATAATAAATACAGAAACCAATCACATTATTGGGACAGCTTTAGAGGCAGGGAAATGACGAAGATTTCAAATCAAAACTACTTTAGGAGCTCACTGAAGGTTTTGACCCTGACATCTCCTCTGCCTCCAACAAAAAGGATTTCTCCAAATGGGAAAGAGCAACAAAGCTGATGAGGAAGTGACTCCAACCTTCTTTTCCAAGGGAATTTGATGTGCTTTAGAACAATCAATCTACAGAAAAAGCTCTTTGCTGACTGAATTTATTTGACCTTTCTGTAGCAACCTGCAAGGACTGAGCAGGTCACCAACACCAGCATTTCACACGAACTTGGGTGAAGTTTGAATATCCCAGGTATTTTCAAGCCCTTTCCATGTGAAATCTCCTTAAAGGTTGATAATAAATAATAAATACAGAAACCAATCACATTATTGGGACAGCTTTAGAGGCAGGGAAATGACGAAGATTTCAAATCAAAACTACTTTAGGAGCTCACTGAAGGTTTTGACCCTGACATCTCCTCTGCCTCCAACAAAAAGGATTTCTCCAAATGGGAAAGAGCAACAAAGCTGATGAGGAAGTGACTCCAACCTTCTTTTCCAAGGGAATTTGATGTGCTTTAGAACAATCAATCTACAGAAAAAGCTCTTTGCTGACTGAATTTATTTGACCTTTCTGCAGCAACGTGCAAGGACCGAGCAGGTCACCAACACCAGCATTTCACACCCTAAATAATCCCTCTAGCTCAGGAGTGTTTCCTACAAGAATCCCCATAGATTCAAAGATATGAGAGTAAAAGTTCCAGCTCTGAATTCCCCATGGAATTGGAAATCCTGGGAAAATGGAAGTCTGCAGTCACAACATTTCCAGAGCTGACTCAGCTCCTCGAATGAACCCTGAGCACAGAGAGCTTCTCCATAAATCCCACCCAACATATGGGCTTGGGAAGCACAAAGCAACTGAAGACAAGAGTTTTTGAAACTTTCCTGATGGTATTTAGAAAGAGACAGCTCTAAAAAAAAAATAAAAAAAGAAAAGCAGGGATTTCAGCTGGCAGCTTAAAGAGTGAACTCTCACAGACGTGGCAGTTTAATCGGGGAAGAAAAGAGGCGTTGAGTTCAAGGAAAAGAAAATTATTCACTTCCCCTGTTAATGTCAGATCCTGCGATTTCCAGTGGGCTCTGTGTCTGAACAGAATTATTGAAGGAGGCAGCCAAGCATGAGCTGCTGAGGCAGGGATGAGGAGATGCAGGCTCCAATTAAGAGAGGGGTGTTATTCTTGTTCCATCAAGTCACCCTGCGCTAATCAATATTATTGACTGGGACGAACTCCACGGCGAGGAATAAAACAATCTGTCTGATCTGCTGGGCCAGATGATGATGGATTTGGGGAGAACAGAACCCTGGCACCGAGAGAAAAATGTGCTTTTACATCTCCTTGGCTCTCAGCCTTCCAGTAATAATCGTGGGTGCTCTGCAGGTAGGTGCAGGCTACAGGGGAGAGGGATTTTGCTTGTATTTAAATATTTTATCCCCCAAAAAAGATGCTGAGGTGGAAATCTTGGTCCTGGTCATGCTTTGGACATCCCAACTACACAGCAGTGCAACTTTAATGCCATTGCTCTCCCACCTCCACTGCTCTAAACACTGGAGTTTTGCTATGGAAAATCCTGGAGAGTGAAGGATTCCTTTCCCTGTGAATTGGAGATCTCCACAGGGGATTCCTCTGATGGTATCGAGGTCAGAAATGTGTTAATTGCATGGACCAGCCATGATTCCTCCACTGCAGCCAACTCCCCGTGCTGGAGAGCCACCAACATCTCCATAAAATACGCCAGGAATATTCCTTCATCCTGACTGATTCCACCAAGAGCATCTCCTGCAGGGAGTGTTCATCCAAACAACCCAAAACTGGCAGCTCTGGGGAAAGCAGGGAGCAGAGAATCCCAGAACGGCTTGGGCAGGAAGGGACCTTAAAGATCAGCCAGTTCCATCCCTGCATGGGCAGGGACACCTCCCATGGGCCAGGCTGCAGAAGGTCCCTGACCTGTGGGAGAGAGTCCAGAGGAATCCTTGGAGCTGCTCCAGGGCTGGAGCCAGGCTGGGGGAGCTGGGAATGTTCCCTGGAGAAGGGAAGGATCCAGGGAGAGCTTCCAGCACATTCCAGGGGCTCCAGGAGAGCTGCAGAGGGACTGGGGACAAGGGACAGGAGCCAGGGAATGGCTGCCAGTGCCAGAGGGCAGCCATGGATGGGATCTTGGCCATGAGGAATTGCTGGCTGGGCTGGAATTGCCAGAGCAGCTGGGGCTGCCCCTGATCCCTGCAGTGCCCAGGGCCAGGCTGGACACTGGGGCTGGAGCAGCCTGGGATGGTGGGGTTGGAATGGGATGGGATTGAAGGTCCCTTCCCACCCAAAGCATTCTGGGATTCTGGGATTTGGGACACAGAATCCATCCCAAGGGATTTTTATGGAAAATGGGGATGGAAAAGGGAAGGGAGACCCTTCCTGGAGTCCTGAGATTCCCAGTGAAATCCCTGGATCCCAAATTCCTTTCTAGAGTGGAATCGGGGTGGAGATAGATCCAATCCCAGGCTGGGAGAGCTGGGAATGGAGGGAATTCCCTGGAAAGGGAGATTGGGGTGGGATTTTGGGAACGAGGAATTGCTGGCTGGGCTGGAATTGCCAGAGCAGCTGGGGCTGCCCCTGATCCCTGCAGTGCCCAAGGCCAGGCTGGACACTGGGGCTGGAGCAGCCTGGGACACTGGGAGGTGTCCCTGCCATGGCAGGGTGGCTCTGGGTGGGATTTAAGGTCCCTTCCCACCCAAACCATTCCATAATTCCACGAAGAGTGGAAATAATGCCTTTTTTTTTCTCTCCTTATCAATGACCAAGAGATCCAGTAGGAGATTAATAAGAGATCCAATTTGGAGCCTGCCAAACCAGAGCTGAGCTGGCAAATTCTGCACTGCTGATGTGTCAAAAAAATATCCCAAAATTTCCCATCTCCCTGGAAGCATCACTGTTGTAGCAGGAGCGAAGTTTGCTGGTTTAATCTGCCTGGTAATAAATTATGAGGAACAAAAGAAAAATAAGGAAAATTTGGAGATGGAGTGAAATTTGTCAGGGAGTTAATGACACCCTCCTGCTGTGCTGGCAATGAAGTGTGCCCACCTGAATGTCACTGCAAGTGGTGACAGAGACAGGGCCATTAGTGACAGAGCTTGGTGTGTCTGAAATGGAGCCTAAAATGTCAGGCATCAACATGAAAAAGGAGATGAGCAGCAAAACTGGAATCTCTGCAGGTGCTGAAAGTCAGAAGAAACATTAGGAGAGCTTTAGTCTTCCTTTCTGCCTGGTACGTTCAAATTTAAATGTTTGCATGGAAATCTTCCACATTTACAGAAAATGCCAGGGAATCTCAGGATGGTTCTGGTGGGAAGGGACCTTAAAGATCACCCAGTAGCCCCCCCAGCTCTCCCAGCCTCTCCAGGGCAGAAGGAGGGATGGAATTGGATGATCTTTAAAGTCCATTCCCACCCAAACCATTTTGGGATTCTTTTCTCTCGCTCTTCCAACGTGCCAAGGTGGAATCACACATTTCTTCTTGTATTTATCTGTTCCTTGAAAGACCTGAGCACATCAGAGAAAAGGCAGCTCAGCCCCTTCAAAGATTTGCTGTGCAGGTTTTAAAATTCATTGTAAGTAATGAAGTAACTTCTTTTTAACAACATCCTGAGAAAAGCTCTTCTCTGTCTCTCACACAAGAGCTCAAAAAGGGTGAGATTTCTTATGCTGTCACTTCAGGAGCCATCAGACATTACCTCATTGTTTCAGAGTTTTATCTGTCTAAATGAGCTTTATCTGTCTAAATGAGGTTTATCCTCAGTCCTGCCACATTTTCAATCCTACCAGTCACTAAAACTTCTCAGACACGAAGGTATTTCCCTGATAA